GGCAGAGGGGAGGGGCAGGGAGCCGCTCGTGTGCGCGTGCGCGTGGCCGGGGCAGGCCGGGGCCAGGCGGGCAGGGGAAGGAGGGTCCCGGGAGTGGGCGCCGGCGGAGTCGGGGGACGCAGGCCCTCGTGCTGTGACAGGAGTGACCAGGGCACAATAAAAGGCTCGGGGACAGTGGAGCGGAACAGCAGGACCAGGCGTGCCGTCCCAGACTCACCGCCACCGGCACGAACTTCCGCAGGAAGCGCACGCCCAGCCGCTCCAGGGAGGAGCCCAGCCTCTCCGCCATCTCCTGGTCGAAGCCCCGCAGCAGGACGGAGCGCACCATGACCGTGACCTCCAGGCCCAGGCCGGCCAGGAACCCGGCGCACTCCAGGGCCACGTAGGATGCGCCCACCACCAGGGTGGCACCCGGGCAGTAGGGCAGGGAGAAGAGGTCGTCGCTGCCGAGGGAAGGGACCGGGCTCAGTCTGCGGGAGCCTCCACTGTGTGGCCAGCTCGGCTTCTAGCAAATCAAGTTAGTGGCCCACGAGCAGAGAGTTTTTAAACTACAAAATGGAGTAGAAGACACCAGACCACATTCTATGAAGTGAGAATAAATTCTGCTTTGTCTGTCTGGTGCGTGCGTGTGTGTGAGTGAGTACACCAGGACGACCCCCAACAATGTATTTCTTAAAGTGCACCTGGTCAGAAAGGCTTGAAAGCCCTTGTCCCACTTTGTGCACCAGGGTCACATGTCCTCTCTGTGGCCGTCCGAGGAAACTCCTGTTACATCTGTCAGGATGGCGTGCGTCCCTGGAGTGCTTGGCTGTCATCACAGACACAGACCCTAAAGCTCCCCGTGTTCACGTCTTCACTCTGGGCTCCCGGAGGTTTACAGCCAAACTCCCAGGACAACTGCCTGGGAGCCTACAACACACCCATGGGCGCCAGTGTGACCTCGTCAGCCAGCCTGTTATCTCTGCCCTGTTACGTTAACTACTTAGCACCTCGCACTGTGTGTACTTTGTCATCAGTGCTAATCTCCTGTGAAATGAGACGGGGAGACACGTAAACACCATACAGCTCATGGTTGATCTCACCTCGTAATGCAGTATTCTTTATCTCCCTGGATTCCCAAATACCGTGGCCTCTCCCCTGTTGCTATGACAAATTTGGCAGCAGTATAACACGTTTTCTGTCCTTTTCCATTGGTCGCCTTGAAAACAGAAGAGTAAACTTCACTTTTCAACAACCACCAGAGATTCTGACACCCAGGGCACACTAGTTGCTACCCTTTGGAGACTCCCATCAGCAGGAACACAGGTGCAAAGGCAGTGACGCGTGCAATACCTCCCACACAGAAAACACCAGTCAGCAGGATGGGAGGGGAGCAGCGGGGCCTGGCTGCGGTTGGGAGCCGCCGTGCGGGAAGGCGGGCAAAGTGGCGTCTGAGGAACATGAATGCCAGGAAGTGACAGGGAAAAGGGGCACCAGCCACAGGCGAAGTCAGACACAGGTTGGCGCCAAACGTGCAGACCCTTACACGCTAGCATGAAAATCTGGGCCCTGAGGAATCTACAAAGGTTGGTCCTTGCTGTTTATTTTCAATGACACAGGCAAATCACAATCACAGTTTCATTAAGAATTAAGAACCGATGGGTGGTCTGAACAGTGGATGGAGGGAGGGCTGCCTGGAGGAGGCGCCCAGCAGACCAGCCAGGCTGGAGGGGGCGTCCTGAGCGCAAACGGGAGGGGCAGGCCCTGCACAACCTGAGAATCCAGCGCCGGGCTGAGACTCCCTCCCTGTTCCACGTGGCCACGCACTTTCCCAGCTTTCAGGGACCAGCTGAGACCTTTCTAGAGACAACAGGTGACGAATGACCACAAAGTGACCTGGAACCTGTCCACACCCCATGCTAGCAAAGCAGAGGGCAAAGGTCAACTGGACGCTGAGGGTGACATCTGACTGTCTTCTTGATCCTGACTTTAAATATCTGTGTTCACTTTCCACACATCAGTCTTACAATACACAATATTACAAATACAAACTATATAAAATACAGTAAGTCAGATATTACTTTCTTAAATAATTCTGACCATAATTTAATTAAAGGGTAAATTAAGCAAAATATGCATTTAAAACCCTCCGATACTAGTTCTTTTATGAATAACATATATTCGAGTTCTAGTTAAGGTTTCATTTTTCAAAAAAATTAGACGGGTAAAATTTTGACCTGTTTAGACTTTCGACCTTTGGACAGCTGAGCGTTTTCCCCAACAAAGCTAACAAAGCCAAAAGGCAAACAATAACTGAAAACCGAGGGTTCTCTCAAGGGCCATTTCTTCCCTGTCGCCAGGGAAGCGGGAGCAGCGTGGGGCCAGCACAAGCAGAGGGGAGGACGGCGGCCAGCGGGACAGGCCCCCACAGACCTTGACCTTATGGTGCTCCACAAACTCTCCGTGGGCGTTGACGTAGGCCACAGCCTTCTCCCTCAGCGACAGCCTGCAGCCCCAGTTCAGGGAGCCGACGTGGGTCTGCACGGCCTCGGTCAGGGTCCCCCAGTTGTGCTTCACTGGGGAGAAAGCAGGGCGGAAGGTGAGGGGACTGTGCGTTCACCCCAAGCAACACCTAACACACGAGCCATGCTCCGTCTGTACCGCGTTCACAGCGAGACGTGAACAGAAGGTGGTGAGCAGCCTGCACCGGCAAGACAGCCGCTGGCTGGGACGCGTGCAGGGAAGGATCGAGGCCACACGGCCCAGATGCATGTCATGCCTCTTCCTAGGACGTCGCCTGGTTCGCATGTGTCCCCGCTCACACCCAGGGCCCGGGGGTGCCGCCCAGCAGTGATGCCCCACGGCCCTCTTGCCCTCAGACACCTCCTCCCACCCCCCAGACAGCACTCTTCCAGCCCCTAAAGACCGTGGACCCCGAGGACCTTGGGCACCCTGTGGCTAAATCCACACTTCACGTGCCCTTTCGTTTCCGGTTCTCGTGGAAGACACTCTGTGCCAGAAGTTCCAAGACGAGGCCGCACCTCAGGACCCCACCAGCATTTTGGAAGCGCCCCTGTTTCACTGATCTGCCCAGTCCTGCAACATAGCACCGCCTTCCTGAATACTGAGGGAAGCCCTGCGCTCAGCACTTTCTCAAAGCAACACAGCTTCCCTCACACATTTCTTTTTCAATATGAAGTTCAATGTCAAGTTCCAAAAAGAAAACATTTTTGATATTTTTCTATTTTTCCTGCACTTACATAAACTTTACCAATTAATGCTGAGATAATGTCTTCACAATATGGAAACATCCCTTCCAAAATTGCAGTGTTTTTGTTCTCTTTTGTATTTTCCTTGTATATTGTGTACACCTCAAGTTATTTCTGTTGCAGTTTTCCATTGTAAATTTATTACTGCTGGTACATAAGAAAGCTGTTGTTTTTTGCATACTCATCTTGTGCACGACCTACCAACCCCACAAGCTCCCGTGCACCCAGGCATCCGGTGTCTCATTCCTCCTCCTCCTCCTCCTCCTCCTCCTCCTCCTCCTCAGACGTGTGCACCTGCCACCAGCAGCACCACGTCAGGGTGGCACTCACAGCCCTGACTCCCAACTTCAATGCAAACACCGTAAGCTCTTCCCCGTTGGATACCTGCTTCTAGGTTTTCTTGGTCATGTACAGGAAGCATCAGTTTCTTTGTTTATTTCACCTTTTTTTAAAAGCAAGAACGGATGTGAGATTTCCCTGAATGCCCCTGGAGCTGAAGTCCAGGTGGGCCGCTGTGTGGTTTTCCAAGATCCTACGATGGCCCCTCACGTGGACTCCTCGCCTCCCCAGGTATGCCCCCGGCGGTCACGGGGCTCTCAGGACACCCTGGACGGGGCTGGCTGATGGTTCTTCTAGAGTTTTGGCACATCTGTGGGCCTTAGTTTTCCATTTTTACACTATCTTTCTGTATCATATGTCAACTAAAAAAATGAATTTTTTTCCTTTTTCTAAGGTCTACAACAGTTTAAATTATAGAGACAGTATCTGTTCCTTGAAGATTTGAAAGAATTTACTTGTAAATCTGTGGCATCTTGGGGTTTTCTTTGATGACTCAGGTCAATTCTAGTCATTCATTTTCCCAGGAGATGCTCTTCACTGAGATTTAAAATTCTCACCACTGGTCTGGTGTGATCTCTTCTGTCTGTGGTTAGGCTCCTCTCCTCACACCTAACGTGTGCTTGTTAGAATCCCCCCCCCCCCCCCAGTTAGAGGAGATTCTTGACCAGATTTGCCAAAGAGCTGCCTGCTTTATTTGTATTTTCAAATATACTCCCAACTTTGTTACCGGTTCTCCTCGGGGCGGGTGCGACTTGGCTGACTCTTGGGTCTCATCTGGCAGTTGCTCACTCCGCCTCTCTGCTGCCAACACCATCGTTTTAGTTTGCGTTTCCCTGGCCTGTCTTTTCCCATCTACCAAAAATCTTCCGGTTTAAAAACGGAAAATTCCTGTATTTTCAACAGTTCTCTCCTTTGGTTTTAGGCGTGTGTCCCGTCAACACATGTGGAAGAACTCTGCTGCTCGCCCAGCCTGAGTCCGGCCCACTCGAGGTGGCCTCACGTCTGAGTCGTAGTCTGCGTCTGTTTTACACTTACACGCTGTTTCTTTGCACACTGCCCTGCCTCTGGGGCCGCTGATGCCACCTGCAAGCTCTATCCCGACACCCTGTGGGCGCCCTACACTTACACCTGTGCCCTCGCATCACGGGTGACAGCGTCCACAGGGCCTCCCGGGACAAGGTCTCGCTGCCCCTTCCCTCCTCCAGCCTCTCAGACTCTCCCGGCCGCCACTGAGCCCCAAAGGTCATGTGGCGGCAGGCCAGGCACCCCAGAACCGCACTGCAAAATTAACTCACAAGTCTTCTGTACACGGGGAACTTCAGGAAGCCAACGCGGGACTTCACCCACTCGAGGGAACTGGTTTATCAGAGACACGAGGCACAAGGAGAGTTCGGGAACACTGACCGGCCCCTCCCCGCAGCGCGGCCTGGGCAAGGCTGGTGCGGACGGAGGGCCTCTCCCCCTGCAGGGGTGCCCACTTGTCCTTCCCATCACTTCAGAAACAGGGAGTGAGCATCTTTAATGCTGAAGAGACTCAGCCACCTACCAGCCAAATGCACCTCGTTCCAACCCCATTCCGTCCAGACTGCACGCAGCGTTTCACTCGTCAGTCCTCTTCCTCGACTCCCTAGGCCCCAGATCCCGCCCCCACACCACCCTGCTTCCTGCCCGCCCCCTCGGGCACGAGCGCAGCTGAGGCTGTGTCTGTTCTCTGCCTTGTCCCCCAGATGCTCCGGGCCGTCGCAGCGGCTGCTGACACCTGCACCCTCCCTCACGCCAAGGCTCCACGGCCAGGCCGCTCCAGGCCTCTCTCCAGCCAAAACCACCCAGACACCCCACCCCACCAGGATGCTCCCCAGGGACCTCCCCGGAAGTTAAACTGCCCAGTGCGGGGGCCTCAGTTTGTCTACAACCAGCTGACACTGCAGTCTGACCATAAGCCCCCGTGGAGCTGACCGTCTGCGGACACATGTCCACAGGGAACCCACTGTGCTGGGCTCCCCCAAACCCAGTCGTTTCACCCAGCCCCTCCCTCCCTCCCTTCCACGACTGCCCTGCCCCACAGAATCAGCACACTGGATCCACTGGGTCACAATCCCTGGGGGAGGAGACAAGTCGCTGTAATTTTTTTAAAAAGTCCACACATTCTTCTGACGACACAATCACCTGTGCCCGTATGAGCCGCCTTAAACCCTCTAAATCCACCCGGCCTCTCAGGCCTCGTCCCTGCGCCGGTGACGCAGCTGTGCCCACCTCCCTCCTTGTCCCTGGACCCCCACCCCCAGCCTTCTTCCTTCCTCTCACTGGCCTTGGGGTCAATGTTAAGCCCTTCAGGCGGCACTAGAGCCTCGGCTCCCCCAACACTGCCTGCCGTTCCCCGCATCTCCACAGGGTGGGTCCGCTGCTCCTGTCTCGAGTGTCCTACTTCTCTGCGACCTTCGAGATGCAGCTCAGGGGTCACCTCCGCTCCTCAGGGATCCCAAGTGGCCCCAGGTAGATGCTCAAAACCTCAGCACGAATGACAGGGCACTGAGTCCCCCCTCGCTGCTCCAGGGCAGCAGTGAGCGGGTCCTCACCTCTGCACTCTCAGGGCCTCGCCAGAGGGTGTTTATTGGTGACTTTGTTTTCTGTCTTTCATTAACCAAAGCCACATAAATGCTGATAGAAAAAAAAACCAAAGTCCTCACAGCAACAGACAAATCCACACAGTGTTGCTCGCTCCTCTTGTTTCTTTGTGCCTGAAAGAAACCTGAGAACAGGGACTCCTCCCTCTCGGATCCTGCTGGGGTTCAGGACGGCGTGGCGGCCACGGCTCCCTCCCCAGGGCTCAGGCCGTGAGGGGCTGGAACCCACACCCGTGGGTGCTCGGGGACCAGCTGGCACACAGGGCCCCCAATGAGAGCTTATTAGACTAATTTCAAACTCAGCTATGCAAATAAGCCAGCAGGTGTTTCCGAGAAACCCAGCCTTCCTTCTTTTCTCCAGATCGGCATTTTATGCACCATCACCCACCTTGTTGACTGAACTCCCAGCCAAACCTCCTCGAGTCGGTCAGCGCCTGTCCCAGGAGGGCGGCCTGGTGCATCAGCTTCTTCGGGACACAGCCGACATTCACACAAGTCCCACCAAGGCCTGGGGAAGAGGAAGAGTCTCAACACTGTGTGTGCATGTGTGTGTGGTTTTACACACGTGCAGAGTGGGTGTTACTAAAACACAGAAATGACAAGCTCGAGCGGCTGTGGGTCCGCATGACCCCCACAACAAGATTCACCGAACTTGCTGACCCGGGTCCAGGAGGGAGGCACCAGGCCAGGCTGAACGCGGGCGCACACGTGAACAGCCTTCCGGGGACAGAGTCCCAGTCTCTCACTCAGGTCTGACCTGCAAGGGATCAGGACCAGGTCAGACTAATGAGGCCAGGACTGCGGCTTCAGCCTTCACTTCCATTGCCCCCACTCCCCTGAGACGGCAGGGCCGCCGCCGGCTGCCGGGTAACATCCACCCAAATCTCCAACAACCTGGCACGAGAGAAGAGACCCTCCCAGATCACAGGCTCCCAGGTGATCAGGCTAAACGGGCTGATTCTGGGCAGGAGGGAGGAGGACGGGGGAGGGAAAAAAGACGAGTGGACAAACCCCACAGAAATTATGGGAAAAATCAAATGCCAGGCTACATTTTTTTGAGTAAGTTTTGAACTTTCAAAAGCAACTTTCAGCTTTGTAGGGGTTCTGGCAGGAACCAGGTGGCAGACAGGTGAGCACAGTCCGCAGGGATCATTGCAGGGGTGGCAGGAGGAGCAGGCGGGCGAGGGGGCCGTCCCAGCCCCATGAGAGGGGCCAGGGCCCGGGGAGCGCCGCCCACCGAGGCAGGCCGCCCCGGGGGATATGACCCCACTCACGCCCCTCCCAGCACCCTGACGGCCCCGCTCGAGCAGAAGCCAGAGGGCACACCCCTCAACTCGTCAGCCTTCTGGGAGCGCAGGGAGGGCAGGAGATACCCAGCACAAAACCGATGCATCCTCTTCTGCAGTGAAAAGAACACGGGCAGGTGAGCAACTCGGTCCACAGCAGAGTCCCAGGGCGGGAGCTCAGCCGCTGGGACCACACACAACAACCCGACTGACCAACTGCAGCCACTGATGCAGGAACACAGAGAGGCATCAGGGCCAACTTAGGTGAGCGGGACGCGGCACCCCCGTGACCACAGCTGTGAAAATACTGACGTGTGCGCCAGCGTTGCTCTGGCAGAAGTGCTGGAGTACTGCGGTAGTGGGATCTCTTCTTTTTGCAAAATCTCCCTTAATTACTTTCAAATTATCTTCCCAACTTCTCTGGTTAACAATGTGACCTGAGGTTCAGTCTCCTCGCCCCAGAAATAGGCTGGCTACACTTCTGAGGCTGAGCCAGCCATCAAAGCAACAGGGAGCGCGCTTACCCCACGACGTGCCCTGCGGTGACGGGGCCACGAAGTCCAGCACCATAACCTTCCTCCCCAGAACGGCAGCTTCCTACGGAAAAGGCCACGTGGAAGTTTTCCCGACACTCCCCCAGCCTGTCCCGCCCCTAAAGGAAAAGACCGCTGTGACAGTCTCTCCTCTTCGCGAAACCAGCTATTACAACAAGAGCTCCGACTGTCCCGTCAGGAAAGCTACCTCCGGCTTTCACCTCCTTCCTACCTGCGCACACGCAAGGCCGCCAGAGCCACCGCCAATGACAATGAGGTCGTAGTCATAGGCTGGGTCTTCCTGAAGGAGCTTCTGCAGTAAGCCGCTCTGATGTGCCTGAGGGTCAGTCCCAGAGAGAACACAATGACTGCTTTGAAACGTCTCTTTGCACCCTGTGCTTAATCAGCATACATTCTTTCACAGAACCATAGAAACAACTGGCCTACAGTTCACGTAAGCTGGAACTGGGAACTTATCTGGGTGGTGCTCAACTAGTTGCAACAGACGCCAGAGCACACGTTTCTGCTGTTACCTGACCGCGAGGCTTGTGTCACACGACGGAGAGGCCACAGCCTCGCGTCCGCGTCAGACGAGCTCATTTCTGAGCTCAAAGCTCAATCGTCAAAATACTACAACCAAGTCCAGTTCGACAGCCCAGTGCCACTTCGCAGACCTTCCCACTCGGTTCTCCCACGCGAGTCTCTACTTTGAAAACAATTCTCGGGCATCGTCAGCAGGATGTGCACTTTGAATTTTTCCCTTGTTTCTCATAAACGGACCTAAACGTTGCAGCTCACTGTGAACTTCCTACACAACACTAACCTTTGTCTTTTCTCTGGGGAAGGGTCAGTAGGCTGGTCCCGGTCCCCCTGCTCGGCCCTCCTTGTGGTCAGATGCGGCTGGAGGCCCCACATCTGCATGGAGTCAGCCACAGGCCCGTCTCAGTGGCTTCAGGCCCGGTGGTCCTGGGGGTGCAGTTGGAGCGCCCCAGACCCCAGACTAGCAGATCCAGGTGGTCCCCGGAGGCCAGCGGCCTCCTCACCCTCAGGTGCCCTTGGGGAAACTGCCTCTGAAACAGCTCTGCCCAAGGTAATGCCTTCGGTCTCGAAGTGGAACTGGCATCTGCGCAGCCCACGCCCACCTGCGACAGCGCGTTCCAGGCGGGGACTCACAAGACCAGCACCTGCAAGGGTGCTCAGGGCTGTGACCGTGGTGCT